CTGTAATTGTTGTACCACACAATCTATATAGGCAATTAGGTTGAACTTCTCCCTTCATAACCACAAGTGAACCTTTTGAGATTATGAGTTTCCCTCCATTTTCTTTAATGAGTTTCCCTCCATTAGCTTTAATTGAATAACCATTCTTATCAAGAGTTCCAAGGGAAATGAGATTCTTACGCAACTTTGGAATGTGTCTTACCATTCCAAGCGTCCTAACAGCCCCATCATGCATCTTCACCTTGATTGTACCGGTGCCTTTGACTCCACAAATTGAGCCATCCCCCATCATAACTTCGCCACCTTCTTCTTTCTCATACATGTCAAACCACTCCTTGTTTGAGCACATATGGTATGAGCATCCGGAATCCAAAATCCAATCGGAAGAGGAACAACTTGAAGAATTAGCCAATGCATTTATTGTAACATTGCTATTCACACATAAAAGCTCACCATCACTCTCTGTGACTTCTTCAGCTGTGTTTGCTGCATTCTTCCCTTTGTTCTTCTTCTCCTTCCATATGGGGCAATTCTTTTTCCAGTGCTCCTTTGACCCACACTCGAAACAACCTTCTTTTGCCTTGGATTTTGACCTTCCTCTGCTGCCTTTCTTGCCTTCACGCCTCTTTGAACGGCCCCTCTCTTCGGTCTTAGCAACTAGACCTTCACCTTGAGGGTTTTCTCCTGAACGTTGGGCCATCCTATGGTGCGTCATGATGTCTTGCACCACCGGCTCAAAATCCAGAGTGACCTTCCCGAACATAAGAGTAGTTCGAAAGTGTTTATAGGATGGAGGTAAGGATGTCAACAACATAAGAGCTTTATCCTCCGTACTATAATTAACTTCCATTCTCTGCAAGTCAGCAACACATCTATTGAAACTACTTAGATGTTCCATTAGATTTCCTCCCTCCTCCATCTTAAGATTCAGGAGTTCTTCCTTGAGGAAGAGTTTGTTGGACAACGATTATCCTTTGGCCACCAACCGAGCTTTGAATATGGTGGCTCCTTTCCCATGCATGTCTTCTTTCTTCCTAAACACCCATTTGCAACCAATAACCTTTCGACCTTTGGGTTTAGGAACTAACTCCCAAACTGAGTTTTGGTGTAGAGATTCCATCAAGCACTCCCCATTCATCATCTGTCATACTAGTTGGCTTCTTCTCTTTGCCAACTAACACAACATGGAGATTTTGTTGTCTAAGAGCTGACTTCATCCTTCGTTGCCAAAGTGTGAAGTTCTCCTTCCCTGTGAAAGGCTTCAACTCCACCTTCATGCTTGTTGCTTGTGGTTGCTTCAACTGCTGTGAACTGCCACCACTATCAACTTCCTTGTCACTTGCCATCTTCAACACACTAGCACTCCAAAAGAAGAACTAGCACAGCTGCCAACCATAGCTCTGATACCACTTGTTATGAATTAAGACCAATTCACTCCCTTTTAGACCTTGTTGTTGATGGACTTTGGACAAGACTCAATGATGGATGAGTCTTACACACACACACATAAAATAACCAAGCACAAATGGCACAAGTGTTTATAGTGGTTCAGCAAAT